AATTTAAAATCGAATTAATTTGAATGAGAAGGGCTTATCGATATTCTCATAGCTATCGATACGATAATATACATGCACAAAAAGTGGAACACCCGTTTTTTCCTATTGTAAAACGGGCTCACCAGCTATACCTACGGCAATGACCAGGAATTATCAAATTTGACAAAAAATCGATTGTAGAGAAAAGACTGATTTACGCAAAATAGCGAAAAATGACAAGACCTGTCAATCGGGTGTCCCACTTTTTGTGTTCATGACTGTACTTTCAAAACCTCTACCACACTCTGCCAATCATAAAACTGGTACATGTATTTTCCTATTATGTAAATCGACCTTTTCTATTATGTCAAAAATGACAATAAGATTGAAGTCAGTGTCATCTGACAAAAACTGTCTAACCTAAGTTTTTCAGAAGAGGCTTTTCATTGTTAGGCCAGACTCACATAAGGCAAATTTAAAAAATTCATATCCTGTACCAGTTTTATGATTGACCAAGATTATTATGTTTTGATGTAAACGCACCTAAAGCTAGCTAATACAATTTCTATAGTTGACTTGATTGGTCATAAATGGGCGAAATGATTGGGTTTGTTTACACTGGTATCTTTTGATGAAAATCCAAAAATAAAATCCCATTTTTTTCTGACGAGGTTAAGAAAAGGTGGCCCAAAGATGAAACGTCGGATTTCAAATTTGATAATGCCAAATTGCACCAACATCTAGGGCGAATCGATGATATATATCGATATATCATATCGATAAGCTCTCTTTTAATAAAAATGGAGAATATTTTTCTTGTTACAAAAAGTTAGATATCATTTCTGTTACCTATCCGTGTTATCATTCTATAGGCTCCCTCGCTATTTGTTATATAACCGATAAAATTGTACAAATACTGTAATGGCTGATAAAAATGATAAACTTTTTGTGTCAATATTTTCGATTTCAGTTAAAATAATCGATTGGTTATTTAGTTACAAACTAAATTTTTTTTTTTGAATCAATAGAACTCATGAGTTAATAACTTCAAACTAAGTTCGAAATAAATTTTGACACAAAACACTCTTCCATCGAAAATCCACATGTTTGAGTCAGTCTTGAGAATTTCAAAATTCAGGCCGCACATTTCTAAAATCAATAAATCGACTCCGTTACTAAAAACAAACATCCTGCACCAAAAAAAAAAAAATGTCTCTGCCAAATATTTCGTGACGCCTACAAAAATGTGTTGGACAAATGTTTCAAATAGTGTAGTTGCATCAGGTAGTTTTCTACGCCACTGCCTTCGTGTGTGGGCCGGACTAGAGTTAGATTTTACCCAAAAAAAACTCAATAATAATTGAAGAATTGACCGAGATATTATCTCGAACGCCAATAATTTTGCCAATAAATCATTGGCAATTAACGGAAAAAAATCGCCTATAGCGCAGACACGAATTATCCGTGGGCGATCCAGTCTTAATTATTATTGTCTGTGGTTGTGTTGGTACCAATCGTTTCCTGCAAGTAACTATTGGCTCGAATTAACAACAAGAATTTGAAATTTTCACTGAAAAATTGGTTACTTTGCAAGTAGTGCAGAGTATATCGGTGTGGTACCTACCAAGGCTAAAAATATCACAAACAAAAACCCACGCAATGGTTCAACTATAATACAAAACAGCCTTTATTGTGGTACGTGCCCGGTAACAATAACAAAATGCCGAAAAAATCTCTAGTGTAGAGCAAATCTGGGTCACGGAAGTACTTACTAACACCAGATTATATTTTACAGGTTCGAGAGTTATGAGACAGGTATTGTAAACAAATAGGAGCTACAATGGTGACTGATAAATTTTCAATTAGGTTTATCGCAGGTATATTAATACTAATGAATAGGGTATAATAAAATTTATTGTCAATAACTACAATGGCAGCCATATCATTTTTCATGGCCTACTGCGGTGTCAAGTGTTTTAGATATCAACGCCATTTACGTTTAATAGTTCATAAAAACAATACAAGTTTAAATTAAGATTGAAACCAACGTCACACAAATTTCAATCTTCAGGGAAAGAAGATCGGTTATGGATATATATTATATAAAAAAAATTGAAATCCAGATTATGATAGGTAACTGAAGAAGTACATACGTAAATAGAGCTGGAGAAAATGATGTTTTTCTCTGGATTTCAGAATAAATAAATAATTCAATTCATTTGGTATTTCTTGCAAATATTTTCTTTAAATTTTCCATCCAATTTGTTGAATTCCAGGTATTGATGAAAATGATGAAATTTTAATTTTTCAAATCATTCAATCTACTCCAGAAGTTTCAAAATTTTTCCTTTATCAGTTTTTGAGAAAACCATTAAAATGTGAGATCATATTTTTTTTTGTTTACTTTAGTTTTTAAAAGTTATTTTCCAGGAATTTTTCCTGTGGTTGTTTTCTACTGAAATAATTCAAAATTTTAGCATGATGAGCTTCTAGTCTTTCTCTTTCTACTCCAGAAGTTTCAAAATGTTTTCCTTATCAGTTTTTGAAAAAAACCCCAAAAATGTAAGATCATGTATTTTATGTCTTATTTAGTTTATAAAAATTATGTTGCAAAAATTTTTCCTGTGGTTGCTTTCTACTGGAATAATTTAAAATTTAAACATAATGAGGTTCTAGTCTTTTTCTTTCTACTCCAGGAGTTTTATAGTATATTATTCACGAGCGGGTAATCATGGCTATTACTCACGAAGGATTAATTTTGCACTACGAGCCGCAGGCGAGTAGTGTAAACATCCGAGTGAATAATAGCCATTTGTGTCACCACTACTTATTGTGCCACCCTGTATACTGGAAAATAATTCAGGAATGTAGTACTTATGTTTATCTACAAGTTTTGTATTTAGTTTTTTCTTCGATCTCCGTTAGTAGGAGATATAGACAATTGCGCGCTTAGAAACTCACCCTGCCCTGTATACTAAATACACATGTGTTTATTTACCTCCCAATTTTCTCAATTTTTCCACCTCAATTTTCGTCTATTTCCCCAAACTGGAAATAAACAAAAATTCAAGAGCCTGGGATAGAAAAAATATGAATGAAATTTGAAACATATCGATAGACGATAAGCTCTCCTCCAAAAAAAAACACTATAGAGCCTCTTTAAAAATATGATGATAAACTAGATAGTGTATTAAAACTAATGCGTCATCTATTTTCTCAGTCGTTGCTATCCCCCAAACTCTCTTTTTTTAGAAATTTGTACTGACATTACTGACAATGGTGACAACTGAACATTTTTCTGTATGTTACAATAATATATTCTATATTTTCTTAAATAAGTATCACTCGAAAATAAATCTATTTTTTAGTTAGCAGTGATTTTTAGGTTTTTTTTTTAAATCCTTCGGGTGAAGTGAGTTACGACCATTTGACAACCCTGGAGGGGTTTTTGAAATTTGAAATGGTTCAAAAACCCAACATGGTTGCCATCTCAGACAAAAATTGAAGAAAAATGCATCGACCAATAATTGGATTGTATGTAGACCTAGCTAGCCACTCTTCACCAAACACTATTTTTTGTATTATTTTTGAAATCCCTTGAAACAATTTAATTATGACCATCTGGCAACCTTGAAGAATTTTTTGAAATGCTTACAAAAACCCAACATGGTTGCCATCTCAGGCCTAAAAAATATAAAGTGTGTTTTTTTTTAAAGATAAAAGTCAAAATGACATTAGGTTTGGCAATACAATGTAAAATTGTCAATGCTTTCAAATTTTTTATGTAGATAAGGCTTGTGTTGCCAACATAGTTACTAAATTTTTGACTTGGGGAATTATCTTTAAAAAAAAAACAGACTTTATAATGTGAAAAAAAAAAATGAAATTCCACTTTCTCCGTATAAAAGTAAAAATAATGCATCGACCGATTGGGTCGTACAATGTAAACCTACCCACTTTTTGCCCATATTGTTTAAAAACAAGATTAAAACCTACACTTTTCGTATGTCCCAAACATAACTCTGCATTATGTTTTTAATCATGTGGGCACAAAACAATGCCACCTATATCCTATATGGCGCGTGTGGCAAGTGTGCATATTTCACTCGTGACTTAAAAAAATAATCCATCGAAAATTCGTCGCATTGCTATGGTAATTTAATTATTCCTTGGTATGTCGGGGATTTATCTTTGGTACCATAAATAATGAAAATCGATTTCCCAATTTTAAACCAGAATTCGCCCCGAAGCCGCTCTATTACCGTAAAAGTTAAGTTGCTTCTGGGACTGGGACATTCCGAACCCAGACCAAATAATAATTAATTGAAATAATTGTACACGTGGGATGGTATAATTGGTCGAGAAAGTGCACTACCAATGTTGCCAAAGTATGACATAAATCTTCAAAATAGTAATAAATCTAATATACAAGCGTGTGGGATTAATTCACCTTTTAAAACACACTTCCTTGGCGCCAATATTTTATTTACGACCTGTACAGCCTTGGGGGGGGGTTGGAACCATATTAATAATAATTATTATGAAAGTAGGTACTTTACGACGCCCAGACTAGACTACTCTCCAAAAAGTCAATTGCGAAACAATAGATTTCCTTAATAAATGGTAATTTGATGGATTGTTTATGGTAATTTATTGTTCAGATGTTGCAAAATATACAATAATTGTTCACACCTCCTACAATAATCGTCTTAATGGGTTAGTTTACTGTCTGAGTGGAAAAACAAATACGATTTTTCTTTTCTTATTGGTAGGTATTTCCTATTTGGGCGTTTGAGAGTGGCCGTAAATGTTGGAATTTGTGAAGTTGGTTAGAGAGAAACGACTAATTTAAAGTCTAATGAACCTTTTTAGCAAATTTTTCACCAATTCCTGGCACCCAACTAATTAGACCTTCACAAGATTGTAAATGAGAACTTGAAGCCGATATCTTTGAAAAAATGACGTCAGGAATTATACATCTTCAATGGTTCGTCCCTTGCAACATAATATTTAAACAAAATTCAAATTTTAATTTATTTCACTTGTTCCTAAAAACACCACCCATTAATCTAGTTCATACCAAGCTCAACTTCCTGTTTAAAACTTATTCTGGTTGCCAGAGAAATCTAAATCTGTAAATCCTCCATCAAAAAACAAAAAGTGTCTTTTTGCACAGGTGGGCGAACTCCTGGTGCAGCGGCAGGCCGAAAATCGCGTAGGCAATAAAACCTACTCTCTTATTATATCTTTTGAGCCCGAGCAACTGGAGCCTTGGCAGTACCTCGGTCGTACCGATCGAGTGAATACACACACACACTCACACACACACAACCCCGGTACTATCTCGAGTTCGTGAGATCTATTAGTCATTATTTCGGTACGTGCCTACTAGAAAAGAAGATTTAATCGCGGGCTTTTCGAATGGATGTAGTGGTAGCAGATGTGTTATTTGTTGATGTGGTGCATATGATTGTGTTTTGAAGGTTTTTGGACTTTGGGATGAATTGTGATTTGTAATTATAGTTTTAGAAGGTAATTGGATGGTGAAATTATAGGAATTTATTTTCAGTTTGGTGCTTTTGATTTGTTGTTTCTCATTCACTTAATTTGGAGTTGGTTCTGCTTTGTCTTTGGTTCTTTTTCTACTGTGAAGAATGTTTCATGTCAACTATTGCAAGATCCAAAAGGCTACATTGACAAACTTTTTTTGTTTTCAAAAGTGTAGGTACCTACTTCAAGAAGAAGCATTAACGATACCCTTTTCTCACTTGACTCGTAAAAAAAATTGCATACGATCGTAAAGTACTACTTTGTTGCAACTGATAAGTTTCTTATCCTGCCATTACAAACTGCAATTTAATTACTATTTAATCTGTGTGCTAAAGGAACATTGAAATCAATTAAATAGCTCTATTAATATTTGACTTATTTTAAGTTTACAGCAAGGCCATTATTCAATTCCAGCCAACTTCACTCTTACATATTTCATGTTTAAAGAACACTTTCATAGGCGAAGTTAGTCATTAAACTCGCGTTAAATAAAGAACTTCTTGTCTTAAAAAGCCATAAATTTTCGTTTTTAAAAAGAGGCCTCCACTTTAAAAATCTCTTGACGTTTTTACTGCCTCTAATTTCAATATTACATAGTATACTGAAAAATGTTGTAATTTACAAAAACAGGTACCATTCCTTGTTTCATTATTAAAATGACTAAATTTAGCCAGCAGGCAATTAGTGTTGTATCTTAAATTAGACAGCGCCACAGCAGCTGTTACAGGTTTTTAATTGCTTCCCTTGTTTTTTTCAATTAAAATGCAAAACTTTTTCACTAGACATATAATTTTGTCACCTTAAAGAGAGGTGCAGTCCTCTGCATACATTTTCCATACACAATGCCCCTATTAGCTAAAAACGTGCTACGAATCGCTTCTTATAAAAGACAATAGTGTATTTTCTTTGGCTTGTGTCCTTTGTTCCGGTTGGACCACACACACAAAAATCATTTAGTTTTCCCACCAACCAATAAAATTCGTTGACCCCCTAAAAGGTTAAATAGTAACAATAAACAATGTCCTCCTAACGGATCTTTTCAATGCAAAACATCATCTCTATTGTATTGTCCATATAGTTTCAATACCGGAAATTCATTTTTGCTAGAGTTGAGTCAAGCACTTGATTGAACATTTACAATTTTAATTTATTATACTTAGGATCGTTCTCACCATCTCTTCACACTTCGGAAGCTGTAACAAACACTCAACAACATTCATCAATCATATTTTTATCGTGAAAATGTATCAAGGCTGCCGAAGAAAGTATACAAAGTAAAATTTGAATATGGTGTTGTTATGGACGATGGCGATAACGTGTTATTATGGCTTTGATATTGAAGGGATTTTTCATGGGAAAAAAAAATGATAATTCGATGTTGATAGTTGGTTCATGGTTTATCATAATCATAATGAGTATCTACCTATGAAAATGAAACATCATTATTCAATATTTTTATTATTCCAGGCTCTTGATTACTACTACTGCTACTACGTAACACTACAACCCAGGGTGGGTCTTGGCTGCCTTGACTATCTGCCTCCATCTGGGACTCATTGAATTTTTTAAATTATTGTCTGTTATACTCCTTATTATTCCCAGCTGTCGAATAGGCTCTGTCTGACCAATCGAAGCCTGGAATAATAAGATAACAAACAATGATGTAAGAAATTCAATGAGTGAGTAAAGGACACAGATAAAGTAGGATACAAAAATTGTATTTCACAAAAAACAACAAGTCAATAAGTTTCTTCTTTCTTGCTAATTCATATTGCTTATTATTTCAATTTTCTAGTTTTCGTGCCATGAAGATAAGAATGTTTCAGGAACTCAATTTGTTCAGTTTTCTTGTCTCATTTGCAAGTTTCACTATTGTTTATTGTTTTCAACCTGCAGTATTTGAGTAGGATACAATGACAATACAAAAATTTCTCAAAATAAAATTCAATGTAGCATGTGAATAATGATTTTGGGTATCATAAGTGGGACGGGCTTCATAAATTATCGACAAGTGCCAATTAATAACGTCGCGATCTTTTTTCTTTTTACACGCGATATACGCCTTGTCCTGGCATCCATCAACAACCATCTGTACAAAATTTATTTCGTACCAAAACTTTCTCTTCTTCTTCTTCTCAGTACGAGAAAAAATGAAAAATGATTTAATAAGTTTAACAAGGCCTTGGTACGTGTCTTTTGACACCGAGTTAATTATAGATTCGGCGCCATGGATCCTCATTTTTCTTTGTATCTTGATTAAAACAAAAACAATCAAACACACTCGGCGATGTTGTCATTGTCACTCTTGAGAACATAAACAAGGAAAGCATTATTAAAGATGTGCGCTAGAGCCATTTGTGAACGATTCTTATTGGTCGGTGGAGAAGTCTACGTCATCAAATATGGTGAAACTACAAAATCCCCATTCAACAAACCAAGTTCTTTTATATTTCCATCAAATTGTTTCTCTGATCAAATTTCTATCTGTCTAGGATTTTTCCATTTTATTTATTTCAAAGTCCAGCCAATGGGGGGAATTACCGGCAACGGATGAGCAGTTTTCAATGAATAAATTAAAGAATATTTCGATGGCGCCTCGTAAATCTTCGAGCACTGGCCGATTGTTATTATAATGCACCACACCACACGAAATTTGCATAAAACACTTTGTTGATATCGAAAGTGCCAATTTTCGGAATGCTGTGTCCCTAACCCAACATTATACTGTTCTTCATTGTTTGGTTAAATAATAATAGTCGATGTTATGGTTAAAATAACGATTACTTATACAACATCTAGTTAATCACTAAATCATAACCTTAAATAACTAAAATACACTGAGCGGAATTTCTTGAATGAAAGAGTAAAATCTTGGGAAATTGGGACGGAAGTGTGCAAACGTATGTGACATTACAACTCATCTCAAGCAGGCCTTGGACGTTGAGAATTAACTTAAAGAGAGAGTTGTCAAATAGTTATAGGCGTCCATTCTAAACCAACGACCCCTAAAAACGACTATACATTTTGCCCTTAGACTTGCTTTTGATGTCTATTCGGTCCCTAATTTATGGGTTCATCTTTAAATTCAGAAACCTTTTGTGATGTCACAAGTATGTCTATTAGTGTCATGTCACACGTAGTGTTTTTATCGCTGCGGAAAGAACGCTCCGGTTTGCCGAAATGGTGTAAACTCATAGTATTTAGATGAGAGCTGTCACATACAGCGTTGCACCGCACCTCAACCGGATGCTACCGCATCATGCTGCTACCGGACGACCGCAATAGAACGAAAACACGTGCTATTGTATGTTTGTAGTCACACCTGACGGTTCAAACGCAACGGTTCTTCAGAAATGTTTGAGCTCCTGGTTTGTTTTTTCATTAAATTTCATCATGTTTGACGTGGATCTATTCATTGAGTGTGTCCACGGTAAGCAAGCGTTATGAGAGGTCGAAAGAATGCACAGTCGTACATTCGAATTTTTTCGTAGAAGTCCGCAAACCTTTTATTCGGCTCTCGTTCCAAATTGAAAGGGTGAATCTAAGATTGACGATCAACCACCTTCCGCTTATGGAGCACACACCATCATCTTTGATGAATTCGCCATGATATACTACCACTACCAAAATTCGACTGGTGAAACATCCGATGGAATAGTGTGACAAGTATAGAGATCATCTAGACAAAACGTATCCCTTTTTGCCGCAGCGTTAAAAACGCATAGTGTGACACCGCACTTATTACTTACAATTCTGAAAGAATAACAAAGTAAAAAAAAGGGGCTTAAAATCCGCAACATCCATGTTTCATGGGTTCTATTTTCTGGATGCGTGTGGATAAAGGCAGTCGGACTAATGAAAGTACGATCGTTAAAAACACAATAAAACGAGGGGTTCTCGTGAGTTATGTTTTAGGGTGTCTCTAGCTTCAAAAATTATCGCTCAATACATTAAAACATCTATTAGTGAGGTTTACTAGAAACTAGTCGTTCATGCCATTCAAATAAGTCTCATTAATGACGTAATCCAACCAATAAACAAATAAACTAATAATTTACGAGTCGTTTAAATTAAGCACAATTTGCATTAATGTGTTTTTGAAGAATATTCGTATTATGGTAATTTGGCGCCACAAAATGAATCACCAAAAAAAAATATATTAATTCAAAGAAAAGGCACCAAACTTCCAAGCAACAATTGGGACTTAAGAGTTGTTATGGGGCACCACTTTTGAACCAATTAGGTCGTTAAAACGTCGCACAGTTACTGAGGTCGGCATTGTTACTGTTTTTCTGACGTCACATTGCTTTTAATGTAAATACTTCTTTGGCTGCATTATGAGAGTAATATTTCATGTTACGGAGTTTCATCTCACAAGAAAGATATGAGTATACAGGGTATACCATTTAAAACGGAACAGGCTGAATATCTGATGATCACTTTTATTTTTAGAAATATCGCTCGTACACATAATTTGATTGTATGAGTGTTTAAATCATTTTCAACATTAACTTTACCCTCTAGGGGGGGTGGAACCATCCCTTACCATTCCAAATGGAATAGGGGGTCGAGTGATACCTGTTTTAAAAGAGCGTTCAACTTTCTTTCAAATGGCATTAGGTATTGGTCTTGTGAAATTGTTGCTTGGGCTAAAGAAATTTCAAAATATACGTTTCCCAATCAAAAATAAGTAGATGAAAACTAATATTGACAAGTTCTTGCTCGTTTCCAGCACAAAATCCCTTTTGAAACATGCCCAAATCGAACAACATAAATCAGTCAATCCCCTAAACGAGCCACATACGTCTTCGACTCCGCCGAAGGAGGGTAAACATTCCCAACCAAAAAAGAAGAAAAAAACGTTAAACTCAAAATGGCCACGATTTGTTTCCGGCCTCCGCCGTTGCCGCCGAATAAGAAATCCTTATCCTCGACGAAAAAATCGCACAATCTTTCTTCGACGTATCTGAGCTTCCGCGACCCGTCCGACGACGTGCCGGTGCCGTTCGAATCCGTCGAAAAAAAAGCGAAACGATCTCGCAGGGTGTCGCACACGAACTCGCTGAATCGGGGTCGCGATTTTCGCGGCCCGGCGACCTTGACTCGCAGCCATTCCGAAGGGAATCTGGACAAGACGGGACGGAAGGATGACTCTCCGCAACAACTGTCCATTAGCAGATACATGAGGGTGCTGAGCGGAAGCTGGAAGAATTTACTTAACTGTAAGTTGTAGATGGCTTCAAGGGGACGTAAATGACTGAATGTTGATTTTTCCAAATTGGTTTGCAAAAAGAAAAAAAAAACTCACATTTGGTATAATCATGCTGTGATTGATTATCTACAATCCAAATATTTTATGGATTATTTAAAAAAAAAAAAAAATATTCGGATCAAAGAATGTTTGTGCCAAATTTGAGCCAATTCTGATGTGAGGTTTTTTTTTCTGTCTGGAAACGAATTGTAAAAAATCCAGCAATCGACACACAGAACTGACAAGTTTCAAATGTCATTAACGCCCTCTTAAGGAAAACGCTTATAACACACTAACGCAAATAAAAATGCACTATATAAATAACACCAGATGAGGATTGTGGTCATTAAACTAATAACATTTTGTGAAGGAAGTGATTTGTTGCGCACAAGTTAGTAATTAACAACTGCGCAAGTGATTTCACTTGACTCAATGATTTCAATACTCGTTAGGGGAATCCTTCCACTCATTCCCATATTTGCTGAACTTGGTGCATTAGGTGCACTAAGTGGAGGAGCAGCAGGCATCAACATTTAAACCCCTTTTTGTCCATGAATTCTTGCTTCAAATTTCATATAAATAAATTGTATAAACTAGGCTCGGGTTAAGTGCTCTCTAACCTATTCTTAGCCCACAAATAAATAAACAGAAACTTTATTGTGGCGGCCTGGAAAATCAAGCCAGAGTAATTCTCCAAAAATTGCTCCGCTACTAATAAATCCAACTCGTTTACTTAAACAAAACTCGGCACTTTATCGCAGAAGTTCGACAACAGGGGGGTTTTGATATCGAGTTGGCTCCAACAAAAGAAATACGGTCAGGGTTTTATGACGAAATTAATTTCGGTCTGCCCGGAACAGGTTGCTTGATTGGAAGGGCGGAAAATCAATTTTTCGTAACAAATATTATGATGTAAACGTAATCGTTTGCATTACATTAATTGAAAGCGCCACCTGGACGCAATAGCATTAGCGTTAGTGGATTCTGACTACACCATTCCAAATCCAAGCGGCAGTAAATGACATTCAATAACCTAAATTGTAAACAAACAAGAGTTACATCGCAATATAGCTGACATCACAAACATAACCTCACTTTTGATGGGGGGACGACAGTGTAAACAGGTACAAGTTCATTTGAGAAATATCGTTTCTTTGCCCCATTGAGGTAGGTTTGTCTCAATGACATGGTTTTTCCCCTATCAAAAGTGAAGTTATTTGATTTTTGCTAAAGAATCTTTACTTTTTTGTTCAAAAACTTACTCATTTTCAGGTCAGAATTTTTCTTGAATTAACTAATCAATTGTTCAAGAAAAATTCTGACCTGGAAATGAATGAGTTTTTGAACTAATGAGTAAGTTTCATGACTAAATTGCTGCGGAGGCGCAGAGGTTCGTGAATGATTCTTATCCAGTGTCAACTTACGCGGTTCAAGTTTTCATCCACGTGTACTTGGACCGTATCAACACTGTCGATCTGGCTTTGATAGTTGATACAAATATCGTCCAAGAGTAGGTTCTTGATCCAACTACACTTGGACCAATTGTGCTTAGATGACAACTTGGACCAAGTAAGTTGACAGCCAAAACTAAGACTTTGTAACAGATAGGGATTGTTATCGCAATCACGCACTCGCTGTCTTCGTCTCTCTTATCGAAATCAGTAGAGGTGACGCGAATAGAAATAGAGCTATCGATCGCTATTCGTTACAGAGTCCCGGCTCAGCCTACTTACTTGGATGTTAGAACTCATCCAATTGGACTTGGATGAACACAGGCCATTGGCGTGCTAATGTAGGGAGCCCTAGCTCACATTCCTTCAAATTACAAAAGTCGGACTGTAAATAGTCCTTCAAACGCTTTGTTAGTCCCCCCATTGAAAGTGAGGTTATGTGTGTGATGTGCCTTTTACGGGTGTCGTAAATGAAAAATTCATGCAATGAAAAGCTTCACATTTATTACATCACTAGTTTCGTAATTGGGTAACTTAAATCTCTCAAACACGTGTGTATAATTTGTCCTTGTCGTGGAACACATTCCAGATTCCTGGCCCATATTTGGGTTATACGGCTCGTTCGCAGACAAGTAGAGCACATTTTTGCTGAAATATTTGCGGCAGTTAAATTGATTCAGTCTCGCCAGGCTCATACGTAATTTTTCCTCTTGATTAATTTTATGTCTAAAACGCGTTTATAATGTGATAAATTCCCTAATATGTACTTAAAGTTAGAGGAATCCTTCCACTTATTCTCATATTTGCTGGACTTTGTGCTTTGGGGGCACTAACTAGAGGAGCAGCAGGCATCGCAAAAGACAAACTTATTTAACTAATTTTATGTCAAATCCCGTTTATAATGTGACTTATTTTCATTGCCAATAACCTATTTCCGTCACATGCGTGCTTGCGCCTTATTTTAAAAGCTGAATTTTCGTGTTTGCTAATCGTAAAAAATATACAAAAATTTTGTGGCTCAATTTACGTCATATTTATTCTTTGATAAATTAGTGTTGTGGTGTGACAGTGAAGAAGGTTCCCGGAAAAAGAGTAAGTGATTAAATTTTTCGAGTAAATCGTCCGGAAAAGATGAAAGACTTGTGCAAAGTTGTAGAAATTTTCTAATTTAAATTCGACCCTTTTATAACTTGGCCCCGAGATTACTGGAAATTATTGCTTTTTCCTCGAGGAAATTTTAATTAAAATCTTGAAACAGTTTCATTTTGTATATAGAAATTGATTTGAAAAAAAAATATATAATAAATTCCACTCGTCTAATATGCTTTTGCTTGTATTAGTAAAGGATGGACACATGTTTAAGTATATTAGACGAGTAGATTTTACGAGAATTATACAGGGTGTCCGGATATTCGACCGACAACGCTTGAAAGGTGACAGACCTCGCATTTTCATGAAAATTGAGATAGAAATATGCAACCTTAAAGTGCTTATTTTTCACGATACAGGGTATCAAAGTTTTCCTTCTATTTTCGATGTTTGTCAACTATTCCTCAATAAACCAACACAGCGATGCGAAATTACGTATCGGGGGGTTCGAACTTTTTTAAATTATCAAAACTTTTTTCCAGATTGCTGCAACGATTTGAATGTTAAAAAAATCGATTCTCCAACGTTTTTTACGTGAAAAAGGTGTATTTTGTTCAAGTCTCTAGAGGTAACCGTTTCCGAGATAGCCTTCATTGAAATTTCCAATGCAACGGATTTAATGTAAGAATTTAGAGGAAAAAATTATTGATATTTGGGTAAGAACAAATAAAATAAACATAATCAATTTGGCGAACATTTGATGTTAAACTGATAGTGGCAACACTTGATTCATGTGTAAAAGATTACCTATTGAATTTTCTCATTAATTTCAATAATTTTTTCCTCTAAATTTTTACATTAAATCCGTTGCATTGGAAATTTCAATGAAGGTTATCTCGGAAACGGTTACCTCTAGAGACTTGAACAAAGTACACCTTTTTTACGTAAAAAACCTTGGAAAATCGATTTTTTTAATATGATATCAAAATCGTGAATGAATTTGTATTTCTCGCCCTAGCAAACCCCCCGATACGTAATTTCGCATCGCTGCGTTGGTTTATTGAGGAATAGTTGACAAAAATCGAAAATAAAAGTTAAACTTTGACACCCTGTATCTTGAAAACTAAGCACTTTAAGGTTGCATATTTCTATCTCAATTTTCATGAAAATGCGAGGTCTGTCACCTGTCAAGCGTTGTCGGTCGAATATCCGGACACCCTGTATATTAAATAAATATATTGTTGTTTAATTTAAATTAAATGAATTATTTCTAAGTCGCTGACCCTAAAACAAAATCCCACCAGGCAGCGCCGAAGCCACGGTGCATAATTTCTAGTAAGTAAGCAAAAGTGCCGAGCTAAGCTGCTTTATTAATGCGAATGGAGATAGCATTTTCGCTCGAGGAAGCGGTTAGTCGTTGTAAAGCCGGAATAATAATTATTGCAACTTGCGAGTTTCGTGTACATTGTGGCATAAAATGCGGCGTAACAGTGTACTTTACTATGATCGATATAAGGAGTTAATGTTTGGTAAAATTAATTCAGTTCAAAAAACTACCCCAGAGCAGATTGTAAATAGAGTGTACTTTTCCCGCACGTGACGTAATTGAAACGAATGCGCCACATTAGTTCCGCACTCGAGATTCTCCTTCTAACTTAATTGCGAAACATTTCCTGGAGAATTTTAGCCTAAAAGTGAGTAACATCCTCAGACTAGAGCAATTACCAGGAAAATTATGAGGCGGGAACGAGGTAATAATTATTTAGGGGGAATATATACGTTTAATTACAAGTTGAGTGAATTTGCCCAGTGGTGGACTAAGACAGCTTATACGATTACACTGTAAAACATCTCATCTAAACTTCATAATAGATTCAACAGGGTGCCTATTTTTGAAACTGGAGAGCAGTGTTCCCAGGAGAACGAGTGATCTGTCTTTGTTACTTATATTATCAGTTGAGAAAGACGGAACACTCGTTCTCTGGGGAACGCTTTTCCCTTGTTTCAAGAATAAGTACCCTGATGGCGTTACTAACACACTTGTACGATTGGCTAGTGGTAAGAAAAAAATGAAACTACCAAGAGTGATTTCAATACCCAAAGTTGGAAGAATCCTTCCACTCATTCCCATACTATTTGGCTGGACTTAGTGCTTTGGGTGCACTAAATGGAGGAGCAGCAGGTATCACAAAAGACGATGCATGTTCTGCAAGAGACAACTGTACTATACAAATCCTGACGTCGTCTTAACATTGGATAAAAGCGCATATTGATTATTTGACTGAAAAGTGCTTCTTGACTTTCAAATTTTTATCAAACGAGAATATCTTTAACCCCGGCTATGATGTTATGCAATAAGCCCCAACGACAATAATAATTAGCAAAAGTCCCTGTATAGTTGGATAAATGGCGCTCCGCTGGTGCAATTTCGGTTTTTGTTTTTCATTTTGTCCAATTGAAAAACTGTTCATTAAGCGAATAAGAGGAGCGTTTAGCGGTGAAATTTATAATGCAGATGCGGTTTTAAATGGATGTCGGGAGTCTTTGCTGGGCTAATAAATCAAGTGCGTTGGGAATGCACTAGTAATTTATAATAGGTTTTATACAATTTGAAGATGTTTTGTGTAGAAAATGGTTAGTCACTAGTTATCTTTTTCTAGTTTCTACAAGAAAGAAAAAATTTGAAGCCTCACCATCTGTTTCAAACTTAAACAAAACTTCCTTGATGCTTATGTTAACAATAAACATGTTTACTTCCTGGTTATTCAATTGCCTTCTGTTTGTGAAAATATAAGCAACACAAAAATTCACCAATCAATGAATCAGTATATTACTTAACTCTGATAGTTCGTCTTGCAAAACAATGAAAGGCAAAAAAATTCGTCAAATAAGGCGTATGGTGGGCTCGTGACCGATCCTTGGGTGCCCACCTACTTGGTGTCGATGTCGGAACAAGTACCAGTAAAGTGCGACTTTTTTTCTACCGAATTTGAGAACAGATGGCGTTTAAATCGAGGCCTGATAATTATCTCTATCAAACTGATATTTAGTTTTATAAATAGATTTTATGTTCAAATTTTAATTACGAAAAGACAGTGGTTGTTAAATGATTATACAGGAAATAACGCTAGTATACTTAATGTTGATTAGAAGCTAAAAAAAAATTTACTTGTTAACACGTTCCTTTGGCTATCTCTCGTTTAAAACATTGCCAACAACATGTCGTTTCCTAGAAATTCATTAAGCTTGCAGCAATTAATCCGATTCATTTATGTTAAAATAAATCCTCGTTTCAGGATTTCTAAATCGGTCCAGAGACGTATTTGCTAATTACTCCGATTAAATATTGGGTTATTTATATAGAATGTAACTAGTTTTTTGTTATATAGGTATATCAATTTGCTGTTGCAACAGGAAATTTTTATGGATAATTAGAGCCTGATTAGGTGGGAATCTGTGGATTTAATTTACTGAAGACACGCAAAGGAACGGAATAATGAGGTTCTAATTTGAATTCTTGAGTAACCAGAAGAAATATTTGAGACATTTACATAAACTAGAACCCACCGAATTTGCTAGATGCAAATGTGAAGTAAAATTCTTAAGTTATAGTAAGTGTAGGCTGTTTGTTGGCTCCATTCATTTACAAAACTCGTTAACCTCAAGATAATGAAATCAGCCAGATAAAAAAAAAAAAACTATAAACACCGCCTCTTCTTTTTATATTGAAATTCATAGATAAACGACTTTATTAAAGACACGCAATGACGCCCAATCTTGACATTGCTTTTGAAAAAAATACGCCTTCATCATGCTTGTGAAGTAATTCTTTAGGTGATTGATGATGTGTGATTTTAACAAATTTTTCTATAAACTAGAATTTTTTTTATTCTCGAAAATGTAACATCGACTTCGTCATTTTCACCCTCTAAAGCATAAGAATCACGTACGCGGAAAAATCACCCCCAATTTCCATTGTTTGCATAGAAATTATGACGAACCAAGCGGAACAGAGACTCTCTTTCGTATAAAGTTATTTGCATGAATTGGAAAATGGCCAGCAAAATCTCCAGATCTGACACTAGTCGAATTTTGAATACCTGTTTATTATTTACATAGTTGTTGAGGTTGGAATAAGAAAATTATTTTGTTATCGACGTGATTTCTCTCCAAATACTCAAATGTATACTTCTAAGTAAACAAAGAATCAATTTCTCGTGTGAAAAAAAAAAAATTAATTCAGATCCCACCTACAATTTAAATTATCCTAATGTGTGAAAACATATTGTCAATTTCGCCCACTGGTTGTCAAGAGATTTGGCGCCTAATTTTTCTACATCCTGCCCATGGACACGTGAAAGTAAATACATAATTAACCAATCGATTGAGTTTAAGAAGGGAATTTCGTATATTTTACAAACTGATTCTTTTTGTTTCAGTGGGCGGTATGTCCAGGCCGCCTAAGCCGGCGGCTACCGCCAAAAAGGTGGCGCCACCAGCGGTACCACATGAGTTCCGACATTCCGGAAGTTCCTTTGGTAGTGCAGGTTACGGCAGTTCGGAGGACGGAAGCGGCGGGTTTTTGGCGCCTGCTGAACCACCTGGGGTACCCCGAGGTAAGAATTATCTAGTTTTATATTATGACGAAAGGGTTTGTGCTCTTATTAACTATTTTCGTCAACGAATACGTTTGAATTGCATTGAAAAATAGGTTTTTCATACATTATCACAAATGTACAAGGTCATTGGCCATATTTGGACCAATGGGTAACTTTTTTATTTGACGTTTTTGACATTTAGAGGTGCTTTTGAAAAACACCATAAAGAAATGTCAAAACGATGATTTTTTTTAAAATGCAATACCCTGTATATTATTACATTTCTTCAACAAAATTCTAGATCTTTTTCGGCACTGTTCTAAGTTTTTACTGCTCCACTCACTTATATTTCCAACTGTATCATAGATACAAATTTGTTAAGAGCAATATTAGGACGAAATTTTACCATTCTTATCACTTTTCTCAGTTAGGAAATAAATACACTGCCTCAAAAGGTCTATAAACCTAGTAGTGGAAAAAAACTTCGGGAACTATATAATAATTAGGTGCTTTTTAGGTGCTAATTAGGGCCTCTAATTAAAAATTAGGTGCTTCTCTAGTTTTTGAGAAAATCAAAAAAAACCAAGAGATTGCTAGGTTTATGAAATCTAGTAGGGGAAAAATATTTTTCCAAAAATTTCTTTTGTATCAGAATTAGGTGCTTCTTAGGTGCTCCTAAATAATCGAAGAAAAATAGAATTGATTAATTACTGACTTACAGATTTTTTTTTAATTATTAGGGGACTGCTTGTTTCCATTAACCTGGCAGTTCCTTTGTTTTTTTGTTTTTTCTGATTATCTCAAAAACTAAAGGAGCACCTAATTTTCAATTAATAGCCCTAATTAGCACCTAAAAAGTACCTAATTATTATTATTATATAGACCCCGATTTTTTTTTTCTATCCTGACACATAACCAAGTAAAAGTGAAGCCAACAATTTCCTAATAATGAAAAAAATCTGTAATTCAATTGATAATTAACTGATTCAAGTTTTTCTTCGACTATAATAATTCTGATACAAAAAAAAATTATTATAGAGGACTGTTAGCTTTCATAAACTTAGCTATCCCTTAGTTTTTCTTGATTTTCTCAAAAACTAAAGGAGCACCTAATTTTTAATTAGAGGCCCTAATTAGCATCTAAAAAGCACCTAATTATTATATAGATCCCGAAGTTTTTTTCCATTCTTGTCGGTTAATAATTAATCAATTCTATTTTTTCTTCGACTATTTAGGAGCACCTAAAAAGCACCTAATTCTGTTACAAAAGAATTGTTTGGAAAAATAGTTTTCACTATAGGGGACTACTAGCTTTCATAAACCTAGCAATCCCTTAGTTTTTTTTTGATTTTCTCAAAAACTAGAGGAGCACCTAATTTTTAATTGAAGGCCCTAATTAGCACCTAAAAAGCACCTAATTATTATATAGATCCCGAAGTTTTTTTGCAATGCTGACACGCCAACAAGTAAACGTAAAGCAAGCAGTCCCCTAATAATTAAAAAAAAATCTGTAACTCAGCTAATAACTCGGTTAATAATTAATCAATTCTATTTTTTCTTCGACTATTTAGGAACACCTAAAAAGCACCTAATTCTGTTACAAAAGAAATGTTTGGAAATATTTTTCACTATAGGGGACTACTAGATTTCATAAACCTAGCAATCTCTTGGTTTTTTTTGATTTTCTCAAAAACTAGAGGAGCACCTAATTTTTAATTAGCACCTAAAAAGCACCTAATTAACTATAGATCCCGAAGTTTTTTTCCATTCTGACACACCAACATGTGAACGTAAAGCCAGCAGTCCCCTAATAATTGAAAAAAAATCTGTAACTCTGTTAATAATTAATCAATTCTATTTTTTCTTGGACTATTTAGGAGCACCTAAAAAGCACCTAATTCTGATACAAAGAAAAAATTTGAAAAAATATTTTTCACTATAGGAGACTGCTAGCTTTTATAAACCTAGCAGTCCCTTAGTTTTTTTTGATTTCCTCAAAAACTAAAGGAGCACCCGAGGGAGCACCTAATTTTTAATTAGACCCTAATTAGCACCTTAAAAGCACCTAATTATTATATAGTTCCCGAAGTTTTTCTCCACCTTGGGACTGCTAGGTTTATAGACCTTGCTTCAGAGACTGTGAAGGTTTACATATTTTGTAATCTCAAAAATTGAGCAATAAACCCGCGTAGCTCTGATTGGTCGCAAAATGAAGTGTTCCTGCAGGTTGACATACATGGTGTTTCAATAAAAATAATGGAAAATTTCGATTTTGAAAAACGGCATTTTTTTACTCGCCCTATATAAGTGTGAAAAAACCCAAACTAACTGAAAAAAACTTTAGGCCAAGAGAAGTCGAATGGTGCAAATCGCAGGTAGCTAGCACACCTGGTTTAGAAGTTATAAGCATTTACAATCGGTCACTTTCTATTGGGACACCCTGTATTGTTCGTCAATTTTTAACTGATACCTACTTGCGGTATGAGGAGCGAAGGGATGTTTTATATGGCAAAAACAGGTGTGACGTCAGGTAACCATTGGCGTTCTAATGTAGGGAGCCACCAGCTCAAATTCCGTCCGAGTATCAAATTAAAATCGACAAACAATACATGGCGTGCAAATGGCATCTTGCGACCAATAAGTGGTATTGTTTATGTTTCAAAGTTGACAATGTCGAAATCTATCTTGGGGGAAAAAATAAACTGTAGAACTTACCTTTCTCTCGTTGGCATTTGATAAAAACGCCAACAAGATGCTGAAAAAAAAAGGTTGCTTTATCAAAATTTGGTACCAAAAAGATTTGAAAAAGTCTTGATATGTATAAAAGTGAAGTATGGAAGTACCTATATTAGTTACTTTGGACAAAATTTCTGAGATTAGGTATGTCCAAATGAGCTGAAATTTTCAGGGATTGTGTAGTTCTCTAGTGGAATAAGAGTCGCTGAAAATTTCAGCTCTCTATCTATACTTAATAGAAAAAAAGTTATGACCTTTTAAAGTTTTCAAAAATCTAAATCATCATAAGGTAGCTCACTATTGAAATGATAAAATTTCAAATTTTTTCATGTTGAGCTTTTTGTGTCTAAACGATTCAGGACTTTCCAAACTCCAGACACTAAATTATTCTGAGATTTGAAGCAGAAATCTATGAAAAAAAGAACACCAGGAAAATTGAAAAATCCACTCCACATTCCTGAATTCGGTTTTATCTCAAGAACGCTGGTCCTAAATGAGTTGAGGGTTTGTCTCGGGGTTTATAGATCTCGACTGGAAAAAGAATTTAAGATTTCAGTACCTTTACAAAAGTTACAAGAGTAGCTATAACATAACTATAATATATTGTTTCCTCAAGAATCTATTACAGCCTATGGGGCTCTAAGGTGGGTTTATACAGCCACATAACATAATATAAGAAATAACATAACATAAGATAAAAAGTTGAACTTATGGAAACCCCTTATGGCGTTTATACAGAAAATAACATAACATAACATAACATAAGAAATAATAAAGTTGGTTAACTTTTAACTTTTATGTCTTATTTTATGTGAAAACGGATCTGCGCATGCTCCTCCCTTGATTTCGGCAATGGCGGAGTAGTAAACAAAACATTCCAACCAAAAAAAAAAATATTTTGATTCTGTTTTCAGCTATTGGTAGTTTTTTAGAATTCGATATTGATTTTCTGTTACTGCTAAATAATTAATTAATTTTTTTTTTGATCAAATATAGTGTTTTCGGTAAAGTTTACATAAGTACACAAACCAGCTGATTGGTTAGAAATTATTTCTTATGTTATGTTATTTTCTGTATAAACGCCACAAAATTCTTATTTCTTATATTATGTTATGTCTTATTTTATCTTATTTCTTATGTTATGTTATGTGCTGTATAAACCCACCTATAAGATAAAAAGTTGACCTTATGGAAACTCCTTATGGCGTTTATACAGAAAATAACATAACATAACATAACATAACTAAACTTTCATGTCTTATTTTATGTGAAAACGGATCTGCGCATGCTCCTCCCTTGATTTCGGCAATGGCAGAGTAGTAAACAAAACATTCCAACCAAAGAAAAAAATATTTACATAGATTCTAATTGACTAAATCAGTTCTAAATCAGTAATGGAAATCAATTTTTATAGGATATTGAATCGAAAAACTATAAAAGTAAATACCTCTATCAATAGTTGAGTACGATTTCTCCAAGGTTCAAAGGCACCAAGTTCATATTTCAATAAATGTCTCTGCCAATATGCCAGTGCAACGCGAAATACAACGAAGATTTTAAAACTTTTTATCGCACGAAAAATATCGGGAAAACTAATGAAAATTTATAGAAAAATACACTGGCGATCGAAATTTAAAGTAAACAACACAGAATGTAAACAATGATGTAAACGTAAACAAACAAATTGACCCTGGTGACGCCATTGACATTTGTCAGTATTGTCCATCTTTTTTCATCTTGTATGTATAAAAAAGTAACAGTAGATAGGAATATTGCTACAGCCGATTGTGTCGCCATCTAACGGCAGATTTGCAAACTAGTGTATGTTTTTCATTTGAATATTTATTATTTTAATTAAAAAAGGTATTATGGTATTATTTAGATGAAAATATGTTTAGTTTTTCATACGAAAATTATTTTTTCAATGAAAATGGTACCTACCTTGCGATTCACATTCACATTGCCCCAGCCAGCAACACCACGGAACAATCTACAAAGTCCTGGTCCAAAAATAGATTGTTTTGTATCGAGGAATGTGGTAATCGGACGCAAAACACTCCAAGACACTTTTTCACATTAAAATAACCCGAAAAACAACAAAATTTTCCCGAAAATCGAGGAGGAAACACGCACACGAGTCACGAATACGATACATAAACTTGTATCGACAGGATGGCCGCTAAATTGGTCTTGTTCATCAATTTCGTGCCGTCTCTTTTTACCTTTTGCAGTTGGAAAGAGACGGAAACAATGTCGGGTCAAAGCCCACTTGGATGGAAATT